CTCCCACCCCCAACCCCCTCACTTTGATTGCTACGCCGCTGGCTCCGCTGGCGTGGGCGCGCCGTGCTGTGCAGGCTCAGTGGGGTCGAAGGAGAGGCACTCACAGACTCACACAGAGCCACTCACGGAGTTGCACTCCAGCGTCGGCTGGAGGGGGCGGCGAGGGGGGGAAGTAGGGCAATTGCTGTGTCATCGCTCTCACTTCCTATCCACCCCCCGTGGGGTCGCCGGGGTTACAGAACAAACACCTGGCCGTACCTGCAACGCACCAGGCCCGGCTGAGGACCCAAGTTACTGGAGGTCCTGGTTCACTACGATCGAACAAACAAGAGTTACAGTGGTGAGCCTCCTTCGGGGTAGAAGATAAAGTGCGATGTGTTGCATGGATCCGGGTGAAAGAGTAGCAAATGGTTCGTTAGTCCACATTTTTGGACAAAGGGAGTTAACTATAGGACACTACCAGGGGTTGCCCACACCACCGGGTACATCTCGTACGGAAAGTGTCCATCTCCTGCTTCGTCTACAAATCACCATGTACCGCCTGTGAATACGCAGCAGTCTTGCGGGATTGCATACCCAATATGGCCGCAGGGGCCATGGCCCCTTACGGGGGTTAAGATTAGGCAAACCCGCAATACTGCTGCGTATTCACAGTTGTACACACGCTATATTTTACTCGAGACTTTCACGATATTTGTTGTTGGCGCAACTTGGTGCCTTGGTGCGACTCCTGTCGACAGAGCAGAGCAGAGGGGTGGCGCCGCGGCACGGTGCTCGCCGTCCTGTGCCCGAATACGTACAAGTGAGCTGTTCGGAGGGGCGGCAGAACAGGCGGGCAGCCCGTCCGCTCGGTACTCACATGAGCCGCGGGGCCGCGGGCTGCGTGACCAGCCTGACTCATCAACCTTTCATTAATACACCGGGCCAGGCCAGGCCGCCCGTGACAAGGCACTAACGTTTACCTCCTCGGGTAGGGATCGAACCCTATCAGGGATATTGCCCCTCCCTCCCCTAGCCAAGCACCCC